CATCATATGAATATGTAGGCGTTGCTTTGGAGGCCGACTTTCAATTTACAATTTATGTCGTTGAACGCTCAAAAGCAACATTTTATGCCACCTTTGTACAGACCTAATTGTTCCTAGATAGCTCACGGGCATTATTATTCGCGTTCCATTATAACAACATAAATACGTTCCTTCTAAACCACTTTCAAATCGCATAGCATGGCAATGTAGCGCCCTCAGAGATTCAATATAGCTTTTGAGTATTGACCATGTTTTCATTGCGTATAGCGACACTCTTCTCTGAAGGCCACATCCTATGCAATTGTATTGTGACCGGCTGGCGAGCTTGTCCTATAGAGGACATTCTTTCTTGTATTGCGTTTAGATGAATTCTCTAAGGTTTATAATCGGCGCTTGCATCTAGTGGTTATCATTGATAAAATCTTACATGAAATACTGCTAAATTGACGGTCTGCTCTGATTATAAATGTATAAAGATTTTTAGAGGCAATTAGGCATTTGAATGTTTCATGTCGTACAAATCGTCCTTTAGAAGTGATTGAATCAGATCTAACGCGTAATAATGATATCTGAATCTGAAAATCCAGTTCATGTATCCATAAATCAAGATACATTTCTATTCCATGCCGAAGCACCACTAGCAGGTTTCAGGCCTTATATATATGCTATTGACAGCACAACTAACTTTGCGATCTGCCCATGCGGAAGCTCCATCCATGCAGGATACATAGGGGCAAACAATGCCCGTCTGTGCAGAAAAATAGAAAAAAATACGGAGAAAAACCAAGTAGTTAAAATTATGGTTATTAAATTAGCTCAAGTTTTTTGTAGCGATTAGAGGGTACTTCGCATAATCTTCACATTGCAACTACGGACTTCGACACGACGTATTTCAAAATAAATGCCGTAATGACAATTAATCATGTTGATAAAACAAACACGGATCACGAAACGATGGCGCGAAACATCCATACAGCTTCGAATTCTGTACAAATGATTTGTTTCCTGATGGAAGCCAGCCACCTAACGGCGACGCCCGAAAATGTAGGATTTTGTTGCCAACAATTGTTGTATAGACGATAAACTATTGGTATCGCGAGTGCGATTGAGTCGTAACCTTAACGTACACTATACTAAGCATATACAATATAATAACCGACGGACTTCAACATTGAATAACCTTTGAAGTCGTTGGGCTAACATGGTGATTTTCTCATGTTTACTAGACGTGCCCTATGTTATTGATTCAGATCTTTCCCAGCGTTCTGGCATCTTTCGAAGGCTGTGTTGCGCATTCCGTCCAGGATCGACGTTAGTCGTTCCATCATACGGCTGGCTCCCAGCACGAAATAAAGTGTGTCACTGGCCGGGTTTGAACTTGGGTCACGTCGTACCCTAGGATTAACAGTTAAATATGTTACCCACTAAGCTATCACGGAGACAGCCATAGCACTGCTGTTCGCGTTACCATATATAATTTTTCTATCTATGGCAAGTACCCAGACTGCGTGCCTTCGAATGCCGTCCTAGCGGTCTATTAGTCTCTTGAAGACCTTGAGATATCGGATTGCATTCATTATTTTATCTCCGGTTATTATCTCAGGATAGTAAATGCCTCTAACGTCTACTGTAAATACCACCGTCACTTTAGGTCTAAACCTATCTGATCATACTCTTTGCTAGACTTTAACACCCCAATATCCGTTCTTGAAGCGTTTGCATATACTTTCGCACATAGATATATGTTTTCGTATCCTTATCTAGCCCCTTCACCAAGCTTCAATGAATTCGAGGAACAGGAACTTGATAGTTAAGCGTTTATTTTTGAGACCGAAATATGTTTTTTCATCTGATTTCCCCTAAAGTAATTCCAACTTTTACTCACATCTTTCCAGAGATCTAAAGTATTTAGCAGCCAAATTTAATCTCCTAGCGGCACATGGTTCAAAAGTTATTCAGTGTCAATACCTGCAGGATCATCTAATACATCCGTTCGCCTCTTTTAATTAAAGTGCAATTGAAATTACGGCTTCTCCATTTGTTGCGATTCAGGTCTTTTGTAAAAAGTACCATATCGTTGGCAAAAACGTACTAGGTCGTAGTTCTATTTTTCGTTCCGAGTATTTTTCTACCATCTACAAATTTAAACTGATTTCAAATATTCTCTCTCTCTCTCTGTTTATATATATATATATATATATATAAAAAATTAGACCATAAAATTAAGAAAATATATATATATATATATATTAGTCTCGTGCTTGTCAACCGCCATAATCTGTAGAATTCTGTGCTCTTTAATACCAATCAGACGGCTTTTCTTAATTTTATGATCTAATTTCCTGATTCGGTAATATAAATAAAGCATCTTCTATTCGTCGCCCAGCTTTAAATTAACTTTGCCAGATTCTTCTCTTTGTAGGATTTTCTGCAATATAACAGTAGTTATTTCATATAAAAGTATTATAGATATCTTCAGTAGTCGATTGCTTTCCAGCCGTTAGATATCAGCTTCCAGCTTAAGTATGAATGACACATCGTCAATAGTTTACCCTTTATTTATATACATTTTTCAACTAAAGGTTTTAAAGATAATCCGACACATGCACTCTCTACGTTTGTTTCTCCATAAGAATATATGGGCAAAATTTATAAATAAAAAACTACTTTTAAAGTGCATTTTAGTTATAAATAGTTATAAATTTGCGTGTAGAAGATTCCATACGTTTGTATATGCCCTGCGGAGCGTCAGATGCGGGGGACCTTCGTCAAGAGTTTTAGGTTCCCGGCGTTACTGCCTGCCTGCCTGCATCACTGGGCTACTGAGGCGTTTTTATTCTTTTGATTTTTACTGTTTCCTTTCTTCATGTCATTTTATACTTTATGCCGGTTTTCATATATTTTAATATAATACTTTTTTCGATTTTCTTAAACACATTATTCTAATGTTGTTTGAGAAAAATATACATATAACCATTTTTCTGTTCTGTAGTTTAATTTAATTCTGTAGTAAAAAATGTGCCTATGTTATATATATATATGGCTTTTGTATACTTACTAGCGATTTTGCAGGATTTGTACATTAAGCATATTTTTTTTTCTTTTGGCTTGTTTTGGCATTGCCTCTTTTTTTGATTTTTCTTTACTTCTGTATATCGCTCGAAAGTGTTTTCTCTATCCTTCATAAGTCGGTTGCAACTTCATTGTGCCGGTGCAGTTTCTAGGCGAAAAAAAGCAATATTTCTAACATGTTTTACGGATGCGATACTTGTGCCATGTACAGAAAGGACTCTGCAACTAAGAGGATTGCTCAAAATCACTTTGTGAACTTTAAGAATCGCATCTCGAAACTAACAAATGCACCCCGCCCCGCTAGGCTATCTGAGGTCGCTGAGGATTAACTGAAGACACTTTGAAAAAAACGGCCAGTAAACAATTCATGAACTGGGCGAGAAAATTACCTACAGTTATATGATCGTCAACAGGCATCTTTGACGTATGAGATTTATTAAATCCAACATTGGCCCAGTTGCATTCCGACGCTACCCAACAGGAAAAAAAGCTCGATAAACTTCTTTTTGAAGTATAAAACGACCTGTACATACAATTCGTACAATTTAAAGATTTGCTAGCATGTATTATGTTTTATGGGACCGCTATGAGCTTAATCCTTCCGTGTCACCATTCTTAGACCCAACGTATGGTTGCTTTAAGCCTTACAAATAGTCTGGAAAAATTTGTGATTTTTAATAATATTCGAATTCTTTGGTTGCTACACCTGTTCCATGTGGTTCAACGAGAAAAATACAAAGTAAAATAACAACTGCCCAAAAACGTGAAACCTATTACTTTGTGATATCTAATAATTATGATTAATATTATTGTTTATTATTTATTTATTTTGATAGCTGTTCATTATAAGGTGGCATTTACAGCCCTCTAACATAGGCGGTTTACATTTATTCCTAAAAATTAAGTTTGAATGATGTTGCCCTTCTGTGTCTTTTATTATATCAAACAGCGTGTCCCGACGTTAGCTGTCATTCCGACAAGGCTGTCTATGGCAGTAACTATGAAGCCTTTTGTAGCTACGGCTTTACGCAGACAACGTTCGAGCAGGATGATTCAGTGCGTATAGTGCGCGTATATGTACGTACGTAGTACATCAATATTTTGATGGATTTTTAGGTAAAGTAGTTAAACGTAATTAAACGTCTTTTCTAGTTGTTTAAGATGCTTTATATTCATAATTCATAGGTACATAAGTGTTGAATATACTACATAATTCACGTAATGTCTCATTTGAGAGATGCGTTAGATTCAGTCAACATTTGTTCCAGTTTCCCGACCCAATAATCGTATAGTATCTCATTCTCAATGATATATCGATATATATATATATATATATATATATATATATCGGTATACCAGCCATATTGGGAATACCGCCATATATACATACAGTCGTTTTTGGTCATTAAACCGAGTTAAGTAACCAAAATCTGATTGATATACAACGATGCAAAGAACACTTTGCATTAACAGGATAATGATTGCTAGATAAATACTTGAAGTTTTTTAAATGTGATAAATTCATTGCCTAATCTGACCCTCAAATAGCAGCCCTACAAGGCCTGAAAAACACGCAAAAACTGCACTACAATTACGTTGAATGCGGTATTTATTGTTGATGTAGTTACAGCATTGATGGACCTGTTTTCGCGTTGTAGATCACGGTATTTTCTGTGTAGGCGGTAGTGATCGGATAGTGGGACAATATGAGGTTCGTGGTTCACTATGGGCCCGATAGGCGGTGCCTGTTAGCACTATCTGTTAACAGGTAACTAACTTTATTTATCGTTGCAGACGTGTGCTGGCAGAGACTAGTTCGCATCAGTGGTACCTCCACTTACCCAGCAGCGCCCTTCCCCAATTCAAAACGATGTTATTGCCCATGTTGTACCAGCAGTTAGAATAACTCGTGCGGTCAATAGCTGTCCAGGTGACATCGATGAAATTTCGTGGACACTTCAGTTTTCACCTGCAACATAATATGAGGCGGTTCATCTTATACTTTCTATTACCAGTAACTTGGACGGTCGTGCACACGGATGAAAATCAGAATCAGCATGCTGTTTCCTATAGCAAGAATCATCATCCCCAGCCTTTTCCTCTAAGCTATCGAAAAACGGGCGTCTCGGTGAGATCTATGCACAGGACAAGCGAAGTTGCTCCTTACTATGATCCCACATCACATTTACCTTATGCTGCAGTGGTGCCTCAAGCATCTTACCAGAAACCCATTGAATACAGCGCGGAAGACTATGGCGAATACGGTTATGGAATAAGGCAAATGCATCCGACTGTACTCGGCGGTCACCAAAGGTCGGAACTCACCGACTTCATCGAGCGTCTACTAAACTTTGATAATGAGCATGCCACTGCGTTTGACGTAGATTTTGGTGTTTATGATACACGAGATCTATACGACGGTCATCAAGCAGAAGTGCAGGTGAAGGTAACCCACAGAGGGCAAGACCACCAGAATTATGCGGACGTGAACATTTTGAGCGGTGAGAGCATAGATTCGATAAACCTGCGCTCAGTTCTTGCTCATCTTGGTCTAGGCAGCCTTGACAGTATACATCAGATACGGGCCATAGCTGACCACATCTATGCCCAACCACAAAAGGTTTGTTGTGACTTGGCAGTTTTTCAAAGTATATGGCATGTGGGTCTTCTAGTAGATACTGTTCTATTACATTCATTATTAACTTAAGGCCATAATAAGTGTGTATGAGTATGTTAAGTATTGCTTGGCGCTCTGTTATCAGTTAGAGCCGACAAACTCAACTGATAATGCTTTTTCCAAAAATCTCGCTTGCGTGTATTATTTGTGAAGTCTCCGACTGCGAAAGCTGTCAGGCCTGATTAAAGCTTCGCTATCTGGCACAAGTGTCTAGTTCATACTAAATAAGGGAACAAACACTTGTTCAAATTTCATAACCATGCAATTCGAAGAGACTGAACCTACTAAAATAAAGCAGATAAATATAATAAATAAATAAATAAAATAAAATAATAGAATAGAATATATAAGGTTATGGGGAGTGCCTCTTAAGGCCCTGCTAAGTTCCTGAAACGTCGAACCTACAATGACTTCTTGCTTCGCTATTTGAGATAGCACGCTTGACGTTTTTTGATGATATCATGTTTACCTATCCATATGTATTAGCGGTAAGCAGTCCTCATTTGGCTTCAAAAAACATAATATATTCAGTAAATCTTATAGTGGCCTTCTTTATTCACACAAGATATCTAGTACTGAATAAATATAATCTTACATGTGGTCTTCAATACAATGTTTTGCTAGTGAAAATACGAGTTTTTTTTATATATTAGTTTGCGTCAGATTTCCATTCGTTAGCCGGACAAAAAAGAATGAAGTGCCAAAAAGATTCACGCCATTTTTTAGCTCCCTAATTAAGGTCGGTTATTGTCTAAGAAGCATGTCTAAAACGTACTGTCGTCGTGTCTACTGGTTTAAGGTACCAAAAAAAAGCGCCATAAGGGAGGAATTGAAATAAGGCTGCATTAGTTCGAGAAGTATGTGACCTAATTTTATTAAGTTGAAAATTATCTATCTTAGTTTGAATAATATAGAACTAATCGTAGTTTAAGTATATAAAAACAACTAACTTAAACACTGATATTATTTGAGTTCTCAATATTAGACATGAGTGTAGTTATGCAATGCAATGCTGGACTAAGTTATTGTGGGCAAGTTCTTTTTTATTTCGTTTGCTTTCGTTGCGCAGAATTGGATTAGATGTAAGTTAAATGTCTGATACGTACATTATACTAGCCGATAATGGTTTGATACTCCTAAAATTTCGCTGCCATATTTTGCTTCAAGGTGCCTAATACTGAAACTCGTAGAAGTTATTAAGCTATAATAAACGGACGACCGTTTTGAGCTTACCGACCCGGCAGCAACGTCGGAAATCAAAAAAATATCTACGGCATTTAAGCGCCAGAAAGACATTTTTGTATATCTGGCTAGTCCAACACAGACAGACAGACAGAACACCACACAAATCAATCACAACTACCAAAAACGTCAGTGAAAAATATTCCAAATACCTTTTCACCTGGGTTATTTAATCGATTGTCTTTAGAAGCGGAATAAAGGCGAAATATACACTTTACGAGTGGATCCACGGAAGAAAATGGTCGTGTTTATAAAGAACTACAATGGGTCAAGAACAGTAAAGCTGGTTGCCATTCGAGAGGAAATACAATATAGTCGTAATTTCCAATGATTCGAAGTTGCCCTTGGAGGCTTTCTGTGTAAGCATCTCACTGAATGACAATAACCGCCTTATAAATCAGTTACGTGTTGCTTTAAAGCACATTAAGCCGTGATGTCTGGGCAAAAAATGACCATACGCTTCAGGTTCTCTAAAACTGTAAGGAATTTAAAGGGCAAAAAGGTGGATGGATACATAATGTGTCTTATGAAAACCAAGAAGGGCAAAAGCTTGACGCCATTTTTGATGTTTGTAAATGTGCTACGTGCGCCGCCAAAGAGGATTAAATCGTTTCCTACATTGATGTACAAGGGCAAACAGAAATAGTGTTAAAATAATGTGAAATAGTGAGAAAATGCCACGAGGAGGTGTCTTACGCTAGTCTTGGCGGTAGCTGTTTCTCGAGCTTAATAGATATCAGGACAAAGAAATGTAGGGATTAGGGTAGGACAAAGATTACTTCTCGGCTTGTTGAATGCTATGTCATTGTCTTATACATAGCAATATCCCGGGGATAATATATGGTTGAATAAATTGAAATTAATCTTATATGTTTAATCAATGCGATGCACACAGCCCTTGTCCTCGGCAAATTGAATATTACCTACCAACGATGCGTAAATTAGAATTGACATTTAAAAAAGATTACAAGTATAAGTCAGTAATAACGTATTATAAAATCTAACTCGTTCTAGAAGCGTATACTGCCGTGTCTGACAGTGATCATTGTTTTTAAGATTGCTTACTGTTACGGTTACGAATGTGCTTGATTGAGCTTAGTTCTTTATTGCCAAGTTGCAGGGCAGTTGGACTCAATAGAAACTTTTTTGTTTTTTAAATTGTATCTAAATAAAAAAGATATTTCAACAATTTTTTATGCACATTTGGTTACATTGTTTACCTGGTCTAATTGTCATTTCCGTTTCGTAGTCCTCAGCCCATCGCTTGGGCTTTCTTCCGTCGAGCTCCACCAGGGGGCGACTGCCGATTAGCCGGCCATTCGATAGACTTTGCTCTGTAGCATCCAGTTCTTTTAATACATTTTCCCAACTTATGAAATATGTACTTTTGTAAAAAAGTATGTTATATTTCAACGTAGACACACAAGCCCAGATAAATGAAATTGGATAGACGATCCTGACCAGAAACTAAATGCTCTTTATATACGTTGTCCAAAGGCAACTCATAAGGTAGCCCAATGGTATTTATATTCTGTAATACTTAATTATGTCGTGTTTTAAAAGGTGCAGAAGTTCAACGGCGTTCTAATGTAAAAGCATTATGCGTGCTAACGCCGTGCCACGGTATTAACAGTGTTCAAGAGATGTTCGAGTACGATGAAAGACTACCGACAATATAAAATAGCATTTTTTTTATTCTTTAAACGTTGATTATTTAGAAAATGCGATATAGGGCCCAGCAGCTATAGTGTTTCATGTTAGGTTTTTGATTCTCCTTTTCTTTCGTCCCGGTTTGAATAAGGAAAATAATTTATTTTAATTTGTAATTTTTAAATGAATTCAAGTGTAGGTCTGGCAGGGCCCACGAATGGATATGGAGCCAATCGGATGTTTGCTCTCACTTTGCGCACCGATGGGTTCATGTACTTGTAGTCATCGGGCATTGTTTCTAGCCCACTACATAATATTCTGGGTATCATAGATAGACAACGTAACTGTAGTATTAATATTGATAACTACTAATACTTTAAGAGTTCCATCACATCCTACTCGAGCGTTGTTCGATATAACTGAGTCGAGCTTTTTCTGCTTAGCAACAAAGCTTTATATATATATATAACAAAACTATTCGTACGGCCTTACGAGCAACGCGTTGCTTGAGCTCGTTCCATCTATTTGGCACTAACCGAAGAATTACGATAGCAACGAACGGTAGGATTCATCTGGTCAGTTAAGTAGAACGCAATGAAGTGTCACTTCACAGAAGCTACATGCGCTCAAAGGCTATGGTATAAGTTTTGTTACTAGAGGATGACTAACTGATAAAAATGAAAGGAGAATTGGCAAAAATTACAACACACGGTTCATGATTCTAGGATAGTTGCGAACGGAACGCTGATTATTTAAATGTGGCAATATATTTGGCTATGTCCATTAGTTGCAAATCGACGAAAAAAAAGATTCTTTATTTTTGAAAGATTAATATTCAGTTTAAAATTAGAGCTGACGCCAATGTACACGGGACCTCAAGAAAAGCTCATGCTGCCCATAGGAATATATTCAATTGAACTCTATGGGTAGGCACCGAGTTGTCTTTAGACTTTTGGCTGCATTTGCGCCGCAGGTATTAGTTTTCTATTAACTTCGGTCATTTTCCTTAAAATTGTATACTTCAGCTTTGAGCTCGAATAAAGTCTTTTTTTGCTTATATCTATAGCGATATCGGAGATCCGAGTTTGTACAAATTACTTTTAGAGAAGCTTAAGAAATAAGAAATATGCACTAGTGAGTTGGTTTTAAGTTGAGAAAAGCTTCATTCTAAACCACTGAAGTTAAAGAGAAAACTTTAATTACTGCTTGGTTTTTCAGGTGATAATCGAAGATCATCATGGACCCCCAGAAAAGCTTCACGGACACATTCAAAGCTTTTACTCCGTGGAGACAATTGATCACGGTGGTGAAATTATCTCTTCTGGAAAATCGAATAAAAATAACGCTGTTCTGGACGGAGATTTTGCGGATCTCATTGGATACGCAAATTTCAATTTTGCCGCTGACTAATAGAGTGTAAAACGGTGTTGTGCTTTACCGTTCCGCCTGCTAAGAATAAGTGAAGAACAGACCACTTTGTCTGGCCTGAAGTGAATCAAATAATTTGTCAGTTTAGATAAAAGCCTCGTAGGTATTAAGGTATATGTAGATGAACTTGTATAAAGTGTAGTGTAATATAGTTACTTCGATGCGGGGTGATCTACCCTGTATTGACTGCGAAGACAAGAGGTCAAATAAGTTGGCTTTATTAACAACAATGAACCGAAAATAAAGCTTTCAGGGCATGCATAAATACATACCACACGAATGCAATATATATATATATATATATATATATAAATTTGCCTTCTTTATCTAAACAATTGTGCAAAATTTATGTCGTTAAGGAAACATGAAACAACGATTCCTGGTCCAGTCTATTATAATAGACTTGGCCATTTACCATGCCGGGTTCACAAAGCAGTTACTGAGTAATATTAATCTGAAGTAATTACAGACATTTATACTAGTTTAAATAACTAGATATACTTGATAACATTATTTGAATTCACCATTTTTGAGCTACAGGTGAACAGTTTCTACATATTTTGACCATATGAACTGCGATCATGCTGTGAATAGCACTATATTTTTGTCTTTTTAGCAGAAGCGCGATTATAGCAGGTCAAGATATCCTGGTTACAGCCACAGTTTTAAAGTTGAATTTAACTTCATTAGAGAATTTGTAATCGAAAAATAAGTAATTCATTTAGAAATGCGACTGTGTACAGCCTTGCAACGTAAGACAAAAGTTCATCCATTTATCTCCTTTGACCATACAAATTCAAGCATTGCACATATTCTTGCTTACAGAGATATAGAGCTAAATCAAATACACCTATTCCTCTAGCCTAATCACTTCCTTAGAGAAGTAAGAGTGCGTTAGTTTCGCTTCCAATATGCATTCTTTTCTCCCTTACATATCTAGAAATATATTAAAATGGATCCGCACAACCAAGAAAAGTCTTCCGCAAAACACATCTGTATTACGGCTTATTACCTATGAATCCTTTGTTTACGTAAGTCGGTTATTAGTGAAGCAGCTTACGGAACTGAAGGCCGTTCTCAAGCTGCCGGTGTAATGATGACAAGACCTATACAGTCCTATACTTGTGTAAAAAGCCTAATAGCGTTCAGCAGTGGCTTCTTAATGTTGTCCATGCATTGGCTGACGGTACCTTTCAATCAGTACTACACAGGTACTTTACGGCGGATTTTTTTTACTGTGATATGCATGTGCGTTAGAACGAGTTTGATAAATATCACGCGAAGTAGTGCAGATAAATAAAGAAACTCGATGAATAGATGATTGGAAGATTAACGATAAAAGGCATTGTGTTATCTATATTTAGGTAGTAGTAGGTACATAAGGATTCACGCAGAAATCAAGCCAAAGGCTTGTTTTATTTTATTTTTCTTATTATATATATTATACATGATTAGTGTGATGTCTGTAGTAGAAAATACTATTGGACTAGTTCTAGATTTAACCCAAAACCGACTTTATCATCTCTTACGAACAATAAGCGAACAGCTTTGCTAACTTACCTAAAATGCGTCCAACGCTGGAGCAGTAATCTAACTTTTTACTTATATTACTACTAGGTAACACGGCAAAATCGATCGAAAAAAAAATGGTAAAAGACCATTCAAGTCTTTTACCATTGAGGTCAGGCTTGAACGATAAGGAAAACCGCATGATTATAGTGACCGTTATAGCGCCTCTTCAGATATAAAATTTAGTGGCTATTATCGTGCGACACCTGACAGTGTATCGTACAAGTCTTTTGCTAAGAGATTTCCTAATGGTACAGTAACCTCTATGTTTATGGGATCTTAGAAATATTGATTAAATTTCTGCAAATTCGAAGTACTTAAGGACCTAGCGAAAGAACTCTCTGATACGCTTTATTTAGCTCAACGTTTTCTCAACGAGTCCGAGTTGTCAACCAAATCCCCAGGTTGTCCTTCTGAAATATGAAAATAACGACCTTTGTGACGCGTTGCGACTGAGTAAGAAACTAACATTTGATAGAATCTGTTCCCACATTAAAAGTAGCATAGTTTAGTAGTATAAGTTAAGCAGGTAAATTTACTGAAAATTGTTGAATGGATTTCGATATGGTGATAACACTTATTTAGAAGCTTTATCAATAACCTACGCCTATACCTAAACATAATTTGAAGTTTTGTTAAAGCACCTTCTGCCTCACAGCCTTCCGTCACGCGAACATAAAGCAGATAACGAAATTATATCGGCTGGTGGCCGAGTATCATATCATAAAATTCTTTCTTCCGCAACAGGAACGCGTCTAACAACGTTTGGACTAACAGCATTTGATCGGTACGTGGTGTCATAGTCGTTCCATACGTTTTGCTATGGAACGGAGCGGCAAATTCCCAAACCTTGTTCTCGCTAGAAGTGCCATAAATAATTTACTAGATAGTCATGTTGGTGTATGAAACGGTTAATCAACAAGAAGGCAACATGGAGGGAATAGAACTTTTCATAATTCATCTGTAGGAACAGCCGGGCAATAATGCCGAGATATCACAATAATAACAACACGACTTAATTCTCAGGCTGGACGGCGGTATATAGCTTGTAGCTTATATATAGTATATAGCCCTTATCAATCTAAATTCGATAGTAGAATCTTTTAAAAAAGCTTCATCAGTCGAAGTATAACATGCTGTACGACATACAACTAGGACAACGAACTTCTAAACCGGTCGGCAGTGCGACGCGGTGATTCATGTGAAGTTTGATCACTCGGTTACAGTTGGAGCGATCGCAATACCGAGATATCGAGAAAAATTTTCGGTTGTGGGATGGGTGCGTCGGACACTGGCGTCAAAGTGAAATCAAGTTGATTAGAAGAGCTAATACGAAGGGGCCACACCATTTATTTGCCTCTTTCAATATTCGATGCACGTTTGTAAAGTGTTTGCCATGTTGTATCGAGTACTTTGGTACCGGTTAGCAAATCTATAGGTACATCCAAATTCTAAAATCACATGCTAAAGCTAAGGTAGCACAGTTAAGCCCTCAAACTAGAGAGACTTTTTCTATTCCAATAGTCAACTTGTGATAGTTAGCTTAATAACTATTATTTTAATAACAATTATTTTAGTAAACAGCGATCTCCAGTAAATGTAAGTGTACATTTGTATATACTGCAACTTACTATTACTATAATTAATTATTTTTGTTGACTTTGCCGCGCAAAGGCCGCTGAGGTGTTTCACAAAGAAGCATGTGCGTACGTAGGTGTATCAAGGCAAAGTTGATACAAAAATGCCCCTCTGCCGATTATCTTAAAGCTGTTTAGATGAAGCACGGCTTTTATAACGGTATTTTAACGTTGCGCGAACACTGACGCCGTCTCCATTTGTAGCTTTCATTTTGTAACGTCGATAGCGATAATAATGACGTTGGCCGTTTGGATGACAATGCATCTAAGGACGGATATACATAAATATATAATGGTAGTTTTTATCAGCACGCGAATTCTTGAATAAGCTTTCAAACCAAATTCAACATTGTCTACTTTATTCCTATACAATAATTCTTTAGTTGTCGTCGCGGCCGTGTTAGCAGCTGTTTGTCGGCGTTTGTTTGACAAAAACGCGCGTAACCACCGAATTTTCGTCTAGTAATAAACGTAAAAAAGACGCTATCGAATATCATTTGACCATTGTCATACGAGGAAAGTTGCTTTACAACCTTATCGCAGACAACAGCTTACCGCTTGAAATGTTTTTTTTTTTTATACGATGTCTACGAAGTCGAATACACTGATTACTGTGAAAAATGCTGATAAATATCATTACAAACCAGTCTTATATGTTCAACGATAAACTCATCATGCATTCTCCGCAAAGGACTCTAATATTTAGGTCACTGCGTAGTATCTATTCTTGTATGAAAACTGCAGCAGTCATTTCCAGTTGTGACCTCGTTCTAGAATTTAAAGGATGTTTATTAGTAAAGAAAGCTACAATAACATCGGAAGTTTGAAGATATTACAACTGATAATAAGCACAAAAATTAGACCTCGCTCGATTAGAGAAAGTTTTGGTCATCGGTGATACTGCAATTTTTTCAAAACCGCAGCCCTTTTCTCAGGTTACCACAGAAGTCGACTGCAGTATAACTACAATACAAAAAGTCCATCCTGCCATTTTCAGAGCCCTTAAAGCGATTTTTCTTTTTACACTCTTGGCGTGCGGGTATATATATATACACACACATATATTTGTGTATGCAGTATCTATGGACCTGCGGCGCAAGGCAGAGCCAGGTAGTGGAACAATAAGCACCATTGAACGTGCTACGCCTGCATTTGCTTTTACAGAACATATAGTGCAGTCCTGTTTCACTCAGAGTTCCGCAAGTGCTACACGGCTTCCACTAATCAGTGTACGATTTGTCCAGAATATCCATAAGGAGTACACTGTTGGGATCAATATAAATTGCCTGGAGTAGAAGAGGGCCTATAAGGGATAGCTGTTTGCCAGATAATCATCATTTAATTCAATTTCCCATTTACTTACTCTGACTTGTCTATCACTCTGATAGCTGCACAAGCAGGCTATGGTTTTATTATTAGTTCCAAGATTATATAACGAAGCTAGTTGGTCATATAGCACCACAAGAACTCGAAATCCCTGTTACAATGTTCCTCCTTGCGTCCGCTAGTGGAAATACAGTTCCGCCATATTGTGTGTTTCCTATATTGCCTTTTGAGAGCCATATGTCCTCATATAAGAGTCTAAGATTTTGCAAATCCATCCGGACCGAATGCAAAAAGGGGGTCTTGGACGACATCATCACGATTGTTCACTGTTCCATAATAGAACCATGCCTGCTCATCATAAATGAACAGCGGCATAAGTGTAGTAGAATTGGCTTAGGAGAACACCATTTACATCTGCTTTACAATTACGGTCGTTAGACGTGGCTTTTATTCGGACCATTTAAAGCCCGACTTCGTACAGCTCAACAGATCTTCGCCACTATTTACCATAGAAGGATTTCCATCTATCGGATTGGCAAAAGTTGCGTACGAAAAATCATTTTTGATGGCAAGCATCATAAGTAAAGGCTTTCAGGACACAGGTAGCTCTTTATTGAACGAAGACGTATTTACAGAAGGTGGCTTCGTTCCCTCAATGGTATAGACCGATAATCAGTTGGGGCCGTCGGACCATCACGGAGTGTCGTTCCAGTTAATCCTCGGAAATCGGGGCTCTGTTGCATGCAGCTTCGTTGCTAAATGCTACCACATCACAAGAAGCGCGAGACAGGGCTCGTAAATCATCCGTTACTTTTGCAAAACAACATTAGTAGTTCCTGCTTCGAAAATAGGGGCCCGTTCGCTTTAGCTGTCCGACAGAATCAATTATATTTAGTCTAAATTAATGTGCTGTGCGTTTGTACGACAATATTAGTTTCCTCTACGAAAAGAACTAAAGACCTATAAGCACGGTATCTGACAGCTTCAATTACTTTGACTGGCTTCTTCGTATACAATCATAAGCGGCACGTATATTTCTGTCTAATGGGGCATATGAGTCAACAAGATGAATATCTCTTATTGAATATTTCTTAAAAAGTAATCAATGATTGTTTGAGGCCACGAGGTAGAGCTGAACATGGCTGTATAATTTTTTTTCTTTTTTTTACTGTGGCAAGGGATTTTCTTAACAGTTAGGTTTAATAAATTTTAGCCAATACAGCCCTACCCTTACACATATATATACATATTCATTCTTCAACATTCATATCTATATGAATATAAATATATAAATGTTGTCAGCCATTTCAGGGATCTGCTTCAAATTTCACTCGATGACAAAAACAGCACGATGGAAATGAAATGACCTGTCTGGGGAAATTTTTCACATTAAGCTTATAGGTTCTCGCACAAATTACCGCAAAATCATACTGGGGCACTTATCGTGATAATAGCTGATAATTTCGTTTTTAAACGGTATCAAATGGAAAAAAAGGGTGAGTTTTTTCCATTTTTTGCCCGGAGTACGATTTGTCGGGAATCGATGGGAAATTCTGAAAGTATCAATGTCTTCGCATAATAACCCCCAAATTTGAGGTTCACGTGACGATGTGGATTCTAATCCGAATGTGGGCACACTTTATTTTGTGTAGAAAACCAGCCACCTGATGGGACGTCTAACGGTGGTACCGAACGTAGCACTCAGAACATGCAATACAGTGACTGTTTAATTGCATAGGAAGCACATATCGGATAATTGACACAAAACGGTGAAACGAGTTACATGGCCCGTAGCAGATGACGATAGTAGAATCAAAGTAACGGACTTCCTGAACAAATGTGATCAAGCTGTTAGAAAGAGGTTACTGTGATAGTAGAGCAATGGAATGGGTCGAAGAAGGTTCTAATGATAAAGGTACGAAAACGCAATATTGATAAAACTGTACCCAGAAAGGTTCAATGAAACAACCCCAAGGATAAGTTAAAAAAAAAAAGGTGAGAATACGATGCGATTCGCTGAAAATAATAATAATAATAATAGTGCTTCTGCGACAAGCCCTATAAACATTTTGTCTTCGAATCCCGGAGCATCTATTTCGTAGTTATTAAGGGGCTTCCTTTTGAAATCAAAAATAATATGTCATGCGTATAAGACCATTAACTAGATACTCTAAATTCAGATTTTATTTCTATGCTACACTAAAAATCTTGCAAAAATGTACCGTGTATTTAACTAGAAGCACTCACAGCTAGTATATATAATACTTTACGTGATATATAATAACAGTCGTCTCGCTTTATGGCTCATAGCATTATTATTTATTCAACGAACCTTGCAAAAATGCAAAAGATTTATGCAAAGTACAATGCGTAATCGGTAGAACATTGTTGGCGGTCGTATTCGTGAATTACCGCCGTTAAGACGAATGGCGACAATAAACATACAAAATTATCAAGTGCGCTTCTGTCATTCAACTTATTTACCATATATTATTTACATATAACAGAGTAAAAGAAGCTAAATCATTGATCAGTCGTTTAGAAACTTTAAGCTCCCGTTTTTGATGAGTTGATCAAGCTCGCGACAGAAATGGTTGATTGGAAATCCCACCACATTGAAGTAGTCACCGCGAATGCCTCGTACAAAAGCCGATGCGGAACCTTGGATGCCGTAACCACCAGCTGAAATAAAGAAGAGGCAACAACAAGGATCAGATGACAGTGAGCGGAAGATGTAAGAAAAAGCTTGTTTTCGGGTCTAGGGATAATCCGCCTGAAATATATACTGGAATATCGAAACTAGAAGATCACAGCTGTAGTCATAATTGGCAGCACTGTACAAAATGTGTACAAGTTATACCTCTGCTCTATGCACGTGTAAAGAAATCCTTTTAAATAAACGAATCGAATTTGAAACTTGAACAGGTTGCTTTATTAAGAGGCTAACCTTTATCAAATGGTTCTTCAGTCGCAATGTAGGCTTCAATAACATCGTCCGAAAGTGACGAAAACTCTACATATGTTGTTTCTGTAAATGAGGCAGCTAACTTTAGCTCGCCATCTTCTCCGCGGACCATGAGGGATACTCCACTATGCACCTCACTGTGTGACCCACTCAAAGCTAAGAGAAGCAGACCAAATAAGAATCTAATATGCAATGAGTATTTTCAAGAACTCTTCTAACTGAAGGGGTTCCGCCAGAGTAATCATATTGCCCGCCAACTATAGAAACTTTTATTATAAAAGCTGTAAACCGTTCTTTTTTGTAGCCGTTTTTCTCTAGTTCAAATAAAAATAGCTAATAAAAACCCAACGAGCAACTATTTTTTTTGGGTACAATTGAAAAAAAAGATACTTAAATAAATCTGCCATTGGAGAAAAATAATTTGCCACTATTAATCAAGTAGAGATGCTTACGCCCCTACATACCGGAGATCATACTTTTTGCTTCTTCAGTGGATCTCGGCTTCTCCAAGATTAGTCCCCCCACTGTTACTATAGTGTCACATCCTATTATGAGATTGGCGTGTGAAGTTTCAGAAACCTGAAATTATTAACGGCATAATTTTCCATAAGGTGCCTGCACTCGTTAGAGATCGATAACCTTTTTTTGTTAAGCATGTTATATATATTTCGTGAATGATCTCCTATAAGTATAGCGACTGACCTGTTTAGCCTTCAGCTCACTGTTTTTCCGTGCGTATTCTGCTGGAGCACTAAATGCTTTCTTATTGAGATTCTCCTCAAAGGTCGAAGGGACAACTGCAAATTTTAAACCAATTTGTTCCAACAGTTCTTTCCGTCGAGGCGAGCCACTGGCCAATACAATCGCTAACTGATTTAGTCGATCAAGGTAGGGACCGATCATTTTGTCATCTTGTTCGACTACGATGGAGAGACTTAAGGGTGAATCTAAACAAGAAATATTTGTTAGCAAATTATACGCCTTATAATGGTAAAACAGCGTACTGCTTCCATAATGTGAACTAGCTCTCTGTGTATATATGCATAACTTCCTTCATTTTCACACCTGTATATTACGTATTAATAAATATCTATAGTTACTTTTTTTATATACAATAATTTTTATTTGACACACGTACAACGGCAAAAAGAAGCAGTGTTTAGATGCAGGATCCTCAAAACGCCTTTGGAAATAGTGGTTAATACCATGTCTTATCTCTCGCTCTACGTAGCATGTCTAGATCGTCTTTGAATAGTACTTGATTTTACCCCTAGAAGCTATAAATTGATTTTACACGTTAAAATTATATAAGTAACAATAATAAATAAGATTAAAGGATAAAGACGTCTTTATCCTCAATCAACTCTGTGTTTCACACCGGGCATGCGTACGTGTGGCATCACTCAGACGTTAAATAGTTGCGCATAGGGATTGGGTTTAGTAACGATCGATGAGGATAGCATCCAGCTAGTGCTTTTGTTAGTCAATCATTAAAATTGATTAGGCTCAGCCTGCACTTTCCGATAGCCCTGTTAGGTGACAACAGAATGACACGACTTAACGTCGTCGGCCGACACTATGAGTTCAATATGCAGATGAATGTACGTTAATGAATTTGTAAGTAAAAAAAAAACCTTGTCCCCTGCAGATAATAAGAAGTTACTTCGCTTCGCTAAGAAAGGTTATCGTTGACTCCGACACGCGGAGCTCCAGCGGTAGGAAAAAACTGCAATCCACTCGAGTAAACGAGATTCTACTAGTTCCTAGTTCTAAACGCAAATTTGAAAATCAAGGTTTTTGAGCGCAACGTGGCCTGGGTGGCTAATGCGCATCACTTTGAATGCGCTAAGTAATGAATTAAAATAAAGCAGCTGAAGTGTTAGCACAATCAAGGTTAATAGCTGTTTGTACGTTTGCCATAACGTTTCATAGGTTTATTAGAGTCAACACCAATGGTACGAAAGCCTTGGGGTTACATTTACGAATGTGTAATTATGTAGCACTTTCAAACTTTTTAAAATGTTGTATTATGAAGGTTTTACAGAAGGCCTTTTTGGATTACTCATAGAAAGCTGTGTGTTTGCTTCAGATACTTTATTTCAAGTAACGCTTTTGGTGGGCTTCACATTCGGAGATGCCCCTTTAATGCACGACTAAACACTATTAATTGACTGCTTCATGATGTGTTCTAGTTAACTTTTCATTTAAAAAATAACCAACCAATTTAGGGTGCGCCAATTGATGCAGTTTACAGTTATCGATATTCAAATGCGTGTTCACAACTAAACCTCCAATTTATTTTATATTACAAAAAGAAGGAAACGAATTTCAGAATGGGGCGTGAATAAGTTGATATTGAGAACGATAGTGAGACAGGATATGATATGGGGCTGTTCGAAGGGTACTGCTTGCATTCCAGCGCCTCTTCGCCAACTTACGACTTGTCCAAAGTAGATTTAAAAAACGAGTAGCTTTTACATGTAATACTACGCAATCTAATGTCGCATCTGATGCAAGACAATTTCAAACACTGGCTTTCGGGACAATTAATTCGGGACAGGAGAATCACTTGCTTCTTTGTAATCAGGTCCGGTGGACGGTGCATAAACCTCAGAAATAGTCGACAATAGCATTGATAATTCAGGTTTGCTCTCAATAAGCAGAAAGACAAAAACTCTTTATACACAAAACAGTTCGATTCACCTACTTTAAACCTGTTAAGGATGTGGGTATATGTAGGTTTTTCCATCGTCCCATTAGAGTAGGCATTTAACTCAAATCGCAATCAATACTTCACGTGTAGTTCATAACTTACAACACACAATTTCTCAATACAACTAACTTCTCGTTACACATTGCACTATACGAATAGGAAATCAATTTACCGCTAACCTGCCCTTCGCGCGAAGTGCCACCAATCAGCTGACTCTAAGGGTTGACCACGTTATGCCTTCTGGAACAAAGCAAAATGATTTAAGTTGGCATAAAAATATACATAGAAGCCTCACTCGCGGATCGATATAATACTGAATATCGAACTGGTTTCTTAGAAAATATCAGGTACTCCATGTATATGTGTACCATATTTCGAGGGTTTTTTTTTGTATGTATAAAGAGTTCTTTTCTGAAGTCGTGTTCACACTTACATGAAGCTATCAACAAACAAATTATGCCAGTTTGAATAAACTCGTAAAAAGCGCCCCAGGTGGTCTCATTGGCTCCAATGTTAGTAGAATTTGATTGCATTTTATCATTGATCTATAAATTGAAAATTCACGCATTTTTACAGTGGCTTCAAAACGTTTTCTAAAGTACATTCAGTATTTTTAAGCTAACTCGTAACTAAAACGCTCACTGGGACTACTGTCGATAGTCCTTAATCTGTTACCACAATTAATGATTGCTCCTATAGAGCTTCGGTTATATACCCTATCATATGTTCTATATACTAATGCTTTTACGTTCTTTTTCTTAAGCCGGTTCTCCCTTTTGCTCTTATTCAATACAATATTTTCTCCAACCGTTCCATATTCCCTAGCGAAGACGACATGCCCTAATATGTCATTCTCTTTTCTTTCACAGAATTTCTCTATTCTATTTGAGCTACAGCTTTGAACTGCTCTGCCAACAGCCTGACTAGGCAAAGCTATCTAAATAAGTGAGTACGAATTAACGTATTATATCCTTGTGGGTACGAATGCCTACAATGACCTTTAAACCCCTTCGCTGTATCGATGGTTCTGGTGACCTTTATTTTTCTTTGGAGTATTATTTATGCCATTCAGCGAAGCTCTTCCAGAGGGTGAATGAGTTACTCGGTTTAGTACATTAAATAATATATTGATAGATTTAATTTTAACGGGATTTAATTATTTCAGATTCTTTTGTAGGCAGCCGCGATGGACTAGCTGTATTTATATCAAATCTAAAACGCGACTCTGCGAACAGAACGGTCACGCACTCGTTCAATAATATCCCTGTATTTCCTTGTATACGTTTATCAATGGTACAAACGCTTTTGAACTACGGCTGGTAAAATGTTTTTTTTTTTTCTTTGAGTATAGGACATTTCAATATTATGCCGAGGGTGAGTGATGCTGTTACACTCACTCAGTTTACGTCGACTTCGAAATCAAGCTCGAGCACAATTTTAACGCTGAATAAGAAATTTCAATCAGCAAACGATATGAGCAGTCACATAACCTCAAGTCCTGCCTGTGACAGCATAGATCCATCTCTCCTATATTCAAATAGTGAAAGAAGTAAGACTATAGCCCAACTTAAAAATAAGTATACGTTCAAGTTCACTCAAACGCTCCAGTTTAGCAATTTAGCTGTGTAACTTTTCAATTCCGAGGGAATAATATCAACATGTAGTAGGTATCGGAGAGCCGAAGTGCGTTGTGGGTGGTACTAGAAGTGTGAGAATACTACTGTGATTAAGCAATATTGGATAGATGAGTATTGGTTAACATAAGACTGATACGTCAATGTGATAGATACAAAGTTCAATGAGCGGTTTCATGCGAGAAGGCAAATAAAGTTTAACCAGCATTTCAAGCAGCCAGCTTGTAATGTATTTAGTTTTGAAATCGGACTGTAGCCTGTAATTTCCCACGAACTCAATCTTATATATTATAAAATGCATGTTCTATGATAGTGCAAGGTATATATCCGATGCCTTTTTCAATGCGAAATTCTTGGGACGGCGAAAAGATATGCCCGACTAAAATTAAACGCATCATTAATTTGGCGTAAAAGTAATGATTCTTTAAATGATTTCCAGTCTCCTAGTTTAGCAATCAAGTAAGCTTAATGAACCATAGTTGAGAGCTTTAGAAAAAGCGAAGTAAACCTTAGTCCTAGATAATTGCAAAAAGTTGCATCGTCCTTACTTCATTCTTGTGAGTCGACGTTGATTTATATTAAAAGATTGTCTCGATCCTTAGCTGTAATGTGACTAACATATCTTTCCTAAATTTTCTAAGCCATGGATTTGTTCTGAGCCATCAAGAAGCAGTTCGTTGTTAGCGACGCCCTTCTGGTTGACTTATTTAGCGTTCGGTCCCATTAGATAATTTTACGTTACAGGTATGTCCTCTAAACGGCGTGTGCAACTGGGGTAGAGAGACGGAGACGGCGGAGACTTCTCTTTTTTCTAAAATTACAGACGTATGCTTAGCACACGTCAGTGTAACGATTGCTGAGTTGTGGTACTTCCGAAAGTTCACGTTATCACGAGTACGAAACCTCCATTGCTGTCTGGCATCTTCGTCGTATCTAACGTTAACTAGGAATAACTCCTTCAGGCGATGCGCTTGAGATTGAATTTTCTTCGAGGCCATCTTATGCTCGATATATAATGTATGATAATTGTTCTAACTAATTTTGTAAGCGATTGGAATCAGCGCAATCTGCACCGATGACGGTATACCAAAGCTAGGTTTTCGCGAGATCTTTACTACAATAAATTCATTTTGGAAAAATAAGCCATCTAAGAAGTTACTGCGATACTGCCTGTAGGCACGGTGGGCAGCAATTTTGAAATTCAACAAACAAACGAAACGTGCTATATTCACGTAGGTCAATTATGACTGCATCGTAAGTTAGAATTTTAGTTGGCGCCTAACGTGCTCCTTCACATTTTTACCCTGGTAGCACTTTTGCCTAGCTCAATATAGTGTTATCTACTTGCACGCGATGAATATTCTACATAGAGCAACGCTGAACAATAAAATTTTTGGATCTTTTGGGTTTCACCGAATTTTATGGGAGTCAGGTATTAAAAAAAATTAGATTATTTGCAGTAATATTAATCGAAATGCACAAATATATGCGCTGCTATAATGGCTGGGCTCTTTCTTCGGCGTCATAAATATTTCGGCCCCCGCTCCTTTCAGCAGCTTTTTACAGTAGTGCATAAACGAATCATGGATAGATGATATTTTCTTTAAAAGGCAGTTAATACAGACGCCCATAGAGGTTTATATATAGCCAAATTTATATAAAGCATTTACTTCTGATTTTAATGTACAATAATCAGCTAGTTCTATTGTACGCCCAAGTGTCACATGACTTTATGACGCTGTTATCCATTGTACTATTGAAGAGATGAAAATGGCACTGAAGATCGATATCGCATTTCCAATTTGCTTACCCAGTTGTGTTCATGCTGTTGTTGTGAGTGCACAACTAATCTGGATTTGTTAGTATATGTATTGACAATGAAAGATGCCGATGGCATGCGAGAAACCTTAAAAAGATGACTGGCCTTTGCCAGACGTATTGATTAGGTCGTGTAGAGTTATGGCAAGTCTCGCATAGTTTGCAACATTGGTATTCTTCCTCTGAGGCGACATATCTGCTTCGAAATTGACGTCCAGCATCTAGATCCAACTGTTATAAACACCGTTAGATGGCCGCCGATAATAAAGGTAACATTTATTCTGTTGTGATCTAGGCAACGAGTACTCAAAGGCATTAACGTCAGTATAGGGTCGCCGCAATAGCTTTTACTTTAATGGTGCTACTTGTATGCTATCCGTGTATTTGTAGGAAACGGTGATTGAATTGAAATTTCGATCTTCGCTAAATGTTTCGAACGACCCATTTCGTCACTGAAAATTCAGTTTTGCTAGGTAACACACACCTAAAATAGTATTAGCAGGAAGTGTATTGTGGATCACGACTGTTTCGCTTAAACGATAGGCGCCCTAATGCATCCAAAACCCACAAATACCTGACGGAATCATACGAATCGAAAACCTTGTTACACCCGGTGTAAACTCGGCGTGCTTGGCACGTTGATACGGGTCCGATTTTGTTAATGTACCTGGTCCCAGTTCTACGACTGAAGTGGGATTTATTTAGCTTTGTTGTTCTAGCATCCTGCAGATTTTTGTTGTATATCATATATTGTGGAAGCATGCGTATCCTAATATTATGGAATAAATTGATGCAACACGATGCATATACTAGTTGCGAACAGGGGTTTGTTATATGGGTTGAGTATTGGCGTCCTGTGAATGCTGTGTTTATGCTATTAGTCTCGTAGAAATAGAAAAAGGCTTAATCGAGATCCAAATTTATTAAATGAACGACCTTTGTAAAAACCTCACTGTAACATTATGACGTAAGACAGTTGCTTAAAGCAAGGCCGCGTGAGTCTCAGGTATAAAATGGAGACGACCTTTTTAACCGCTGGGTCGATTGACGTCATTAGCTCAGAAAGCATCCGTGGTGTGTTCTGTATAGGGCATTTCGCTAATTACGGAGCAGCATAAACTAATCTGGTCTGGTGTGGACGCTAGCTTCGACACTTTATGTTTATGTTTGATCTTAATTCCAAAAAAAAAACAAAAAACGTCCTAATCTTGCGGTGGAGTAACGCATGCCATGTTCATGCTGCGGGTCTGTTATAGCAGGTTTGCCTTTCGATAAACCCCTTAGTATGAATATAAAGCTTAGTTCGGCCGATTCTCTGACTCAGCAAATCAGTATCGTTTGGCCATTCCTGCCCGGTTGAATACTACCGTGATTTTTTTCCAGATTCAAGTTAGTATTCCAGGTAACTTCTTGTCGTAAAACTACATGCTTTGAATAGCATCTTTTTGATGAGTATGTTGGAAAAAGCATAAGTTTACGCACAGTCAAAGGTAACACGACTACAGTACTGCTTATCACACATCACTACTTTTAA